GCACATGAGAGTGATAAATCATCATGTTTAACTCTCACAACAGACTTCAAAAATAGGTTTGTGTTATGACTCTCACTATGAAGATAAGGAAACATACTCTAGAGAAGACTACTAACTTGTCCATGTCAATCTGGTGGGGATATATTGCTAAATATCCTCATTACACTTGCATGCATAGGCATAATATGGCAGATTCTGTTTGCTGTCAAGTAAAAGATTACATACGAAAGAAAATAAATCAAAAGTGGATTTCACATCATCTATGTGAAGAAGCCAGAGGAACATGATAGCAGTAGCTCTTGGCCTGGGTTCTCCGCCTCATTTTTAATAAATCATCTTTTTCAAACACTTAATTACTTTTGTTGCTATAAAATTGAGGGTTTCCTGGGATTGACCATATGTCAGTCTTCGAATATTGTGGCCCTAAGACTCCTGCAATGCCTTAAAATATACCTCATAAAAATAAACCTAAGAGTATGAAACGTCTTCAAATAAACCACAAAAGCAAAAGACACAAATATGTTTCTGACTTCTGATTGGGCAACTATTACAGTAGCACCCTGTTACTGATAGTTTATCAATAAGTATGACCAGCTTTAGATAAATACCTGCACAGCTTACATAAGAGAACCTGACCCTTCCATAGATTACACGGCCCCAGTGGCTTCCAGGTGCCTTGGTGCAAAACTTTATCACCACATAACTCTTGAATTTTGCATCCTGAAAAGGCAGTATCATGAGATGAAGACAAGGCTTGCATGTTTTCCTGCCTACTCAGAATTTGGTGGGGCCCCTTCTACAGCTGTGGTGGCATCTGCATATACTCTGGTGGTTGAACCTGGGAAAACACATCCCTAGGCAGTTGGTGTTGAAAAACAGAAAGCCCAGGGAGAAGGTGGGGGGGGGGGGGGAACTTGAGAGATAGACAAGATGGGGAAGGACAGAGATGGAGAGCAAAGAAAGAGATATCTTGATTGAGGGAGCCCTTATGGAACTAGCAAGATACCTGGCACTAGAGAAATTCCCAGGAATCCACAAAGATGACCCCGGCTAAGACCGTAAGCAATAGTAGAGAGGGTGCCCAAACTGCCCTTGCCCTGTAGTCAGATTAATGACTATCTTAAATGTCACCATAGAACCTTCATCCAGCAACTGATGGAAGCAGAAGCAGAGAGCCACTGCACTGGTTTGAACTCCCAAAGTCCAGTTGTGGAGTGGATGGGGTGAGACTATGAGCAAAGAGGTCAAGACCATGATGGGGACACCTGCTAAAACAGCTTACCTGAGCTAATGGAGAAAAGTCAGTACAAGTAGCAGGGATAAATCCTGGTTCCACTGCTAGTGGCTCCACAGACTGCCCCAGGCATACAACTGTCACCCATGTTCAGAGGGCCTACTTCGGTCCTATGCTGGTTCCTTTCTTGTTCAGCCAGAGTTAGTGAGCTCTTTCTTAGCTATGGAGGATAAAGCTGTTGATGCTTTAGGGATTAGGAGGAAGGGATGATTTCCCTTTACCAGGTGCTAAATTTCGTGAACCATGAGTTTACTACTGCTCAGGAAAGTCTGTTTCTGTTTTGCTTACTTAAGTTAGATCCAACTTTATTGCAATTAATGTTCATTTGTCTCTGACCCTGGCCCAGGACATATTTTGTGAATTTGTATATTTTTCTGCATGGTTCCCTTCTAGGCTGTGTTAGAGTTTTAGAGACTGGCCTGATAACATATTGAATGAAATTTTCACTACTATTTTCTACATTGAAGTGGGAGTCTTCTGTTTTGTGTTGATTTCATTGGTTAAATAAAGAAACTGCCTTGGCCCTTTAATAGGACAGAAAATTAGGTAGGCGGAGTAGACAGAACAGAATGCTGGGAGAACGAAGCCGAGTCAAGCAGTCGCCATGATTCTCCCACTCCAGACAGACGCAGGTTAAGATCCTCCCTGGCAAGCCACCAGCTCGTGGTGCTACACAGATTATAGAAATGGGTTAATCAATGATGTGAGAATTAGCCAATAGGAGGCTAGAACTAATGGGCCAAGCAGTGTTTAAAAGAATACAGTTTCCGTGTAATTATTTTGGGCAAAGCTAGCTGGGTGGCGGGAAGCAGCCCCGCCACGGCTCACTACTACACTACATATATGTAGAAGCTTTTCCAATGAGAAAATTTCAAGTTTGCTTTTTAAATGGAACTAAGTTAGAGGTTGTTACCCTATTAAAAGAGATTCTGAATTTATAACTATCAGATTGTGGCCCCAAACATTTTATTGTTTGAAAAGTGTTTTAAAACTCTCACAATCAAAATGATATATATTTTTTTCTTATATAGCATTGTGCCAAAGTTCTGATCATGTAATATAAATTTAATTTTTTTATTACTCCAAGCCATCTTTCTTGTCATAACTGCTAATGTAAGCAGTAATTACTATCTGGAGGGCGGAAGTTTATAAGAGATACAAAGAAAATACAGTTATGAAATGACCTCAATAATTGTGAAATAAGTCAGAAATATAAAATGATGGCTACCTTAATGTGGTTACTCCTGAATGAACTAAGACAGAAGTTAATTAAAGCACATTTTGACATTTTAGTCTACTGCAGCTTTACTGGGACAATGGTCCTGGGCCGTGAGAATATGACAGTACACCCTGACTTCTCTGGGATGACACCACTTTCTCAGTCAGAAGACTCAGCTATTGCAACATGCTCTTTTTTCTTTGTTTTTGTTTTGTTTTTAATTCCCCCTTAGAAACAATCCATTTGGGTTCATTATATGACCATTTATTAGTCTGGGGCATTATCCTTGTTTGTGACTACAATGAAGTCATTCTAGGCTGGGTCGGCTGTAAGTCACTAAGAGATCTTTCAGCTGCTCAGTGAGCAGGCAGTGCAAAGGTCACAGTAATATTTTAGGCCCCAACTCTCCCCAAGGTTATGGTGAATTTTCATGCTAGCCATCAAGAAGATTAATTCAGCTTTGGTTTTTCTGACAGCTTACCATGCAGCAATATCAATAGGCTGAACTTTTAAAAATGTTGAGTTTATATTGTCAGGAAGAGTTCAGACATGCTAAGTGTGTGAGCTAAGCATACCTACCACTGATCCCATGAGAAACATGCCAACTCTCCAAATCTCACCTTGTACCTGCTTCCGTTCTCACACTCCGACAAAGGGAGCTGCTTTCCTATTTTGTCTGGCTTTATGATTATGTAGATGGAGTTATACACAGTGTTATTATTTTGTGTCTAGTTTCTTTTATTCTTCATGCTGTTTATCATGCATTGTATTTGTTTCTTTTACTGCTGTGTGGTGCTCCAACAACTTATTCATTTTACTTTTAACAGACATTTGGGTATTTTTCTTTCAGAGAAGGGCATGGCTATTAATATTCTGATATGAAAACTGCCATAGTTAAAGCACACACACACTTCTGAATACACCATACAACTAGGAGTAAGATTTCTGGGTCATAGACTGTATGTATGTTCACTGTCCGTAGGTACAGGTTCCAGATCTAGAATCAATAACCAGTTGAAAATATTGAAGTTTTGAGCTTGTTTCTATGTAATTTTGACTTTAAACTATAAAATAATTTTTTTTGTTTTTTGTTTTTTCATTTTTTATTAAAAATTTACTTTTCATTTTACATATTAAACTCTGTTCTCCCTCCCCTTCTCCTGCCTCTCACTTTCCGTCCCCCATCCACTCCTCAGAGTGGTTAAGCTTTTCCTTGGGGAGTCAACAAGGTCTAGGACACCAACTTGAGCCCCTCCCCTCCTCCCAACCCCAATTTTAAGGCTGAGCAAAGTATCCCACCATAGGGAAAGACTCCAAAAGGCCAGTTTATACACCTGGAATAGGTAATGGTTCAACTGCCAGTCCCCACCCTCCTGCCAAACAGATCAAGCCACATAACTGTCAACCACATTAAGAGGGTCTAGTTCAGTCCCATGCAGGTTCCCCAGCTGTCAGTCCACAGTCCGTGAGTTCCCACTAGTTCAGGTCAGCTGTCTTTGTGGTTTTTCCCATCATGATCTTGACCCCCCCCCCCACTTGCTCATATGATCCCTCCTTCCTCTCTTCAACTGAACTCCAGGAGCTCAGCCCAGTACTTGGTTTTGGGTCACTGCATCTGCTTCCATTAGTTACTGGATGTAGGTTCTATGATGACATTAGGGTAATCACTAATCTGATGAAAGGGGAAGACCCTTTCAGGCACCCTCTCCACTATTGCTGGGAGTCGTCACTGGGGCATCGTAGATTACTGAGAATTTCTGTAACACCAGGATTCTCCCTAACCCCATAATGGCTCCCTCTATCAAGATATCGCTTTCATTACTCTCTCAGTCTGTCCCTTCCTCAACTCTGTCTTCTTGATCCCTAATGTTCCCATCCTCCATCCCCTCCCTTCTATTCCTCTCCCAGTTTACCCAGGAGATCTTAGCTGTTTTCCTTCCTAGGGTCCTCCATGTGTGTTCCTCTTAGGATCCCTCTTTTTACCTAGCTCCTCTGGGGTTGTGGATTGTAGCTTGGTTACCCTTTGCTTTTACATCTACTATCAATTATGTATGAATGCTTTTTCTGGTTTTTCAAGTCTGTGTAGCTTTGGAGCCTGTCCTGGAACGCACTCTATGGACCAGGCTGGCCTCAAACTCATAGAGATCTGCCTGCCTCTGCCTCCTGAGTGCTGGGATTAAAGGCATGTGCCACCATTGCCTGGCAAAAAAATATTTGCAAGCTTTAAAAACCATTCAGCAATAAACAAATGCCTTTAGTGGTCAGGATTATATTATTGATACAGAGGCACAAAGGGAGGACTTTTACCACTCTAAGAATGAATTTGGAATTATACCAATGCTGTTGTACCATGTTCCCTACTAGAAACAATGTGTGTCTTCTAAGAAACAAATATAAGACTTCTGATCTTAATGTTTGAAATACCTGGATATAACTTCTTTGATGTCATTTTGCTTAGTGTTTTCTTCCTTTTATTATTTATTCTAGGTTGTACTGGTCAGTGGACATCTGGACAGCTGGGATGTTGGGCAGGGTGCCATGGACGACGGTGGTGGAGCCTTCATATCATGGGAAGCACTCTCACTTGTTAAAGATCTTGGTAAATATTTAGAAAGTCTTTAACCAAGTCTTGAGGATCTCAGTAATGACGTGTTAACTCTCTATATAAACTCCATAATGGGTTCATTTTTGTGGCGTGTTCAAAAATTCTCCTGTAGTCTATATTTTTTTCTCAGTTTTCTCCCAGGATAGAATTATTCAGAAATTTTTATTCAAGTGTACTGCAGACATCTGAAGTACCAAATATTATTGCCATTCACTGAGGAAAATGAACAAGCAAATAAAACCAGAACAAATGTAACCACATAGTTGGAGACTGTATAAGACCATGGCTAAAAGCTGTGAAAAATCAACTTCTCTCCATTTCCTTATCTTCTCCTCTTAAGATAGCACCAAGCTGTGAGAATAGTGGAAATGTCTGTCATTTTTCTATAGAAATCAGAGTGTGTTAGTGATAAAAGAACGATTCCCATAGCCACGGTAGGAATCCAGTTTGAGAAACTGGATCTAGATATGGATGAGAAGAACAGGCATTAAAAGACATGGCTAATAGCAAAAGTAGCTTCTTTTGATGACCATATATGCAAATAAAGTGTGTACATTTACTGTTGATGTTCTGGTCAAAAGGGTGCATATGGAGTGTGATTACAAACAGCAGAATAGTCTGAATCAAGAGTTCCCTGTCTAAACCAGACAGTGGTGGTTTTAGAGTGCTTCATCAGCAGGCAGTCCTGGGTGGTAGCAGTAGAATAAGTTCTCTTTTAGATGGCATGGAAGTAAAAAAAATTATTGTTTATTTAAGCATGAATTGTAATAAGATTTTTCTTTGGGATACTAGCTCACAAATAATGACATAGAGACTTATTAATTATGAAATCTTGGTCTTAGCTTAGGCCTGTCCCACTAGCTCTTATAACTTATATTAACCCATATTTTTATTAATCTACATTCTACCATGTGACATTACCTCTCTTACATCTTGGATCTCCTATTTCCTCTCTCTGTCTCCCATGTATCTAGATTCAGCCTTCTCTTCCTTTCTGCCCCAGAAATCCTGCTTCTACCTCCTGCCTCGCTATTGGCTATTCAGCTTTTTACTACACCAATTACAGCAATACGCATTCACACAGAATACAAATATCCTACAACATTTCCCCTTTTTGTCTAAATAAAAAGGAAAGATTTTAACTCTAACAATTATCTTCTCCTACTTCCTCCTCTCTCTGCCTGAAAGTCCCACTTATACATCCTGCCTAGCTATTGGTTTTTAGATCTTTATTAAACTAATCACAGAAATATATCTTCACATAGTATACATATATCTCACAACAACATATGTCTCTAAACTCAAGATTTCCTATAATTTTTTATAGAGTCTTCTAGTCTCTACATAGGTAAATTAAAAATTACTTATCTGGGATGCATTCTAGTTGGTAGAATGTCTGACTAACATGCATGAAGACATTGGTTCAATCCCCAGTGTAGCACAAATAATAAAAACCCAGAGACAGAAATTGGGGAAATTTCTGAAAACCAGAAAAGCAAAGCAACTAAGCGACTAGCGAAATCTTACCTCTACCAAACCTGGGCAACCACAGATTAAGCTGACTAAACAGACTAAGCCTCTCCTCCCATTTAGTTTTCCCTCTAGTACTGAGATTAAAGGCATGACTCCTGACTACTGGGTTTAAAGGTGTGTACTACCACTGCCTGACCTTTAGTGGCTTAGCTTTGCCCTTCTGATCTCTAAGCAAGCTTTATTTATTAAAACATAAATAAAAATCATTAGCCCCAACAGTTCATAAAAATGGATATGGTGGTGCCTACCTGCCATTGTAGTAATTGAGAAATAAGTGCAAGCAGACCAAGAATTCAAGGTCATCCTCAGGTACATAGTGAGTTCAAAGCCAGCCTGGGCTACATGAAACTCCATCTCAAAAAGCAAATATTGCTGGTCTTCCTAACAGAAGATTGCCAAAATGGTCTTGTTTTAAGCAAATTTTCATTTTTATTTTTATCTTACTTGTGGTTTTAAGTGTAGAACTGAAAAACCATTTTGTGATACTTCATGTATTTTCCGACCTTAGCACTATCGACATTTTCAGATTGTGGTGGGGGTTTTTATAAGATCCCCAGACTCTGCCCACTACTTGCAATTATCATCCACTACAACCCCCCAAAACTGTAACTTGAAAATGTCTCTAGATATTGTCAAATATCCATGGATTGGAAGGTGAGAACAAATGTTCTGATTTAAAAGACACAGAAGTAAACAATAAAGTATCTATAGATAACCTGACACAGGATCTTTTGGAAAAAATAATTAAAGAAACTAATTGGAATCTTGAATTGCACATTCTTAGCAGTCCGTCGTCATCATCATTGCCATGCATGATAGAAAAGATACACTGAGCAACCGCCATGTAAAGTCCTTTGTAGATGCCAGGCACACAGGGAGGATTAGGGTATGCTCTCTGTTTTGAGAGCCTTGATCCAGAGCTGGAGATCTCCACATTTGCCTACAGGCATTGCTGTGAGCAGAGAAAGTGTTTGAATGACTAATTTTACAACTGGGCCAGGTTCAAGAGAGAAAATGCTCAATAAAATCCAAATGTATACCTTCAGAGAAGGTCTAGATTTTATATGGAGTCCTCCCTCATTCCCATTCCTTGGTGGTCTCTCCCTTTCCCTCTCAATCCAGAACAAAATGGTTGGGGGAAAATATGCAGAAATCAAACATTCGTTCTTACAGAACACAGATGTTTATTCTGGAAATTAATTTTATTTCAATGTGTTTCACCAATTTGATGGAAATGGATTGGTGGAATAAAAAAGAAACTAGTTCATCTGAATTGTGTTTTAGGTCACTCTGTTCTACAGACTGTACTTTCCTGGCCTTGAACAGATCATCTGAACACTCTGCACTTCATTCTCTTCCTCCGTATTCAATTATAATCTTCCAGGGTATTTTATTTGCTCTAGATTGAAACGAAAACTGGGTATTCTCTGCATATTGACTCTCTGTGGTCTGGTCCTCAGCATGGACCCCTAAATTGCTGTTAATTGATTTCAATTCAATTTCATGGATAAATGTCAAACAACATGCAGAGATGAATGAAGTATCTATAGTACCAACTCTGAAAATGCGGGTTACAGTTTTTGTTGTTGTTGTTGTTTGGATGGTTTTTTGTTGTTATTGTTGTTGGTTTGGTTTGGTTTTGGTAACTACTGATCCATCTTTTAAGTTCATAGTTTAATCTCTGAAAGATTTCTGAAAATTTCTATGAACATATAACTTAAACTACAAAATAAAGAGCAGTGTTTCTTTTGAGCATGTGTTGTGAGGCAGCATCAACATACTGTTAAAAACACAGGACACTGATCTGGGCATGGTGCTCCACACCTTTAATTCTAGCATTAGCAAGAGGCAGAGGCAAGTGGATCTCTAATTTAGAGATTATCCTGCTGTACAGACCAAGTTCCAGGACAGTCATTGCTACACACACGCGCGCGCGCGCACACACACACACACACACACACACACACACACACAATAAACAAAAAAACCTGTCTTGAAAAAAAAACCCACAGGAAACTGGAGCTCGACAACCTTTATTGTTCATACCTCAAATCCCCACCTTCCTAGTTATCAACTTTAACCTTTGGTTATTTTATTTGACTTTTTGTGTCTCAGTTGATCCGTCTAGGAAATAAAGATAACAATAGTTTCTATTTCTCATGCTTGTTTTGAAAATTAAACGAAGCATTAACCAATCAATTTACAACAGGGCCTAACCCAGCCCAATCTCTCCATAAATGTTATATTTTATGACTTAATAAGCATGGCTCTGAAAAACAATTTTAGTACAAGAGAAGTTGATGTTTTTTTTAACCTACTGCCCCATTAATGACCACTCTGCCTTCTTGATATTTTGTTATAATAGTGCAATTCTAGAGTCAGCCGCCATAGTTTCACTAACATAATCTTTCCCTTTGCCTTTTAAGCCACCATTTCTGGTATAATGGAAGCCTAAAGACTCCTTTACACTTCCTATTTTTATATGAAAGTATTGTGTCTTAGATGTCTTCTGATCTATGTAGAATTTAACAATTGACTTTGAATTTTCTGTTGGTAGATTACCTATGTGTTTTAGCATGCAGGTCAGGATCCAGTGTGTGACTTATTAGCTCTGAATGTGCACCAGCAATTCTAGATGAGCTTAGATGAGAATGGAGTACATAGGAGAGCATTGCTTAGCATATTTGAAATTCCAAGTTTATCAACAGCATCACCAAAAAGAAAGGAAAAGAAGCAGTAAAACCTGAGACCCTCTCCCCCAAAATGGGTTCATAATTATATTACTTAATTACATCGAGGCTAAATTGTTTGATTATGAAAGCTCTGTGGAAATCTTTTCCCAGGAAAAATGACACTCCTCTTGGATGCTCTCCCTTGGATGAGCTGTCAGGCAGCTTAGACACTGGAGTCCCTCAGTGCTTTGTTAATTTGAAGTGTTGGCCCAGTGGGGCTCTCTGATATTTGAGAACCTTTTTTCTAAGACTTAGCCTTCTACCATATTTTCCTTTGTCTTCCTACTTTACAACTCTTACAGATGCACTCTTTTGCCCAAGCCACCAGCTTAAATTATATTCAATTAATCAAAAGACATTTGTGTTTTGTAAATATAATCAATCATTCCTAAGTAACCATCATCGGCAGCTGTTTGCTGTGAAGTACTATTGAATCTCGTGCGTGTGTGTGTGTGTGTGTGTGTGTGTGTGTGTGTGTGTGTTTTACTGGATGTGAAGCTGTTTATTTGAGTTGTCATTTCCTGGAACATTCTGGTGTCAGTGGACAAAACTTGAGACCAAAACTGCAATATTTAACAGTGCTCATTTGTCATTCAAAAAGTAAAGCGTCTCCTACTCCAAAATTCTTCCAGTTTTATCATTTTCTATGAAGTTGGAATTTGTGGATTTTGATTCTAAAGAAATGAAAGAAAAGAAAGGGAGAACATTACCTGGCTATTGAAATGTGAG